ATGTTTTGTTTATCTATAAAATCTGGAATTCTTCCCAATTCAAAAGAAGGATGTGTGAAGGATTAATGCATGTAAAAATAGATTTAAGAAAAATTGTCATTAGCATAACATGAGGAGTGTAAAAGGGGAAGATCTTTATAATGTAATATAATGCAGTTGATAATCATCTGAAAAAGAGCCCATGAATGGTAAGACTGCTGAACACTGATAGTTAGGTTTATATCCTAACTATATATTGGACACCTTTTGCTTAGCTTATCTGGTCTGACGATCTGTATAAAATGGTAAATGAAAAACAAAGTATTTGTACCCAATATTAAGTCTGATTCTGCAAACAAGATTACTGTGGCTGCGGAAAACGACACATGCCAGTGAGATATATGTGTCATGTAGATATACACAAAATACATCAGCTAGAGTACTCTTATCAAGCAGTATGGGACAGGTACCATATAACCAAATAGTACATATATCAAACATTGTAATTATGTATTTTAAAGTATAAGGCTTCCAATACAATTAGAATTTATATTTTGTAATACTTATTAGTCTCTCTGAAACATACTTATTTTGCTTAAATCTACTTCCAAAGCACTTTATTTTGATACAACCATGGTTTAGAAAATTATGTTCTGACATTCAGAGCAGATAAAAGTCATACTTAACTGACAAAAACATATAAAATTAAAGTAAGGCAAAAATAGCAGCTTAACATAAAATCTTGTGTCAGTTTTAAGAAATAACTGATGGAGGTCCTCTTCTTCAATAAAAATGAAAAAAAGGTTTTTATTCCTGGCCTTTTGAAAGAACAGATATCAGATAACACTCAAAATTAAAAAGAATTATACAATTCTGCATCATCTAAGCCTTCTTGATTTATTTTGATCTTGAAATTCATGACTGACAAATTTTGTGACAACTTTATATTTTTGAGAAACTGGGACCACAGGTGGATTTGTTCGAACAGCATTCCAAGTTCTTCGATTACATGCTCGAAATGACTCTGCATGAAAAAATTTACAAACTAAATTCGTCAGAAGCTTTAGAAAGTGAAATCTAATGCACTCAGTGTAAATTTGTTTTTCTGTGTGAGGAATCAGCTTTTTTCATTACCATCAGTTCTTACAATGGAAATGAGCCTGCTGGCAATTAGTCTGAGTTGAAAGTGTCTGAATTTCTAAAGATGTCTGCAAATATAGCTTTGATATATATACAGTGAATCTATTTAGCCTATTCTTAGTATCAGTAATAGTTTTTCAACATTAAATGGGGTACAAAAGTCCATATGATATCTTTAGTGATGAGATGTACGAAGTTTGCACGCGTCCTTTGCTCAATTTGTCCTTTGTTCTTTTGTTTGCTTATTACTTATTCCAGGGAAAAAACGTCTTCTTGTGTTGTTACCGTACTTTAACATACGTTAAATTTTACATTAAAACATGAAATATAAATAAATTATTTTAGGATTTCCATCGAGATGGTTTAACATGAAAACTGCATAATGGAATTCCTAATAGTGTAAAGGAAGGTATAGTTATTATAAAGACTATTAGATTAATAGAGGTGAAGCTAAGCAGGCTTTAAGCTTAACGAAAAGTGTTTCCACAATAAGATCTCTTTGACTCACATGAAGTTTAGATTTAAAGACAATGCTAAATGGGGGAAACCTTTAGCAAAATAGAAAATTTTTGAAAAATCTCTGCTGGTTCTTAAAACCTTACAAATGATCAACTGATGTGAGAAGAAAAGTGAGGGGCAACTTCTGGCACAAATTGTGCACCATCATGAAATTTATTTGCTATTTTATGTAATTTCCATGATATTTCTTATTTAATTTTTTTCATGCACAGTTAACTATTGTTTTCCGTTTAAAACATTTAAAATTAAACATAATTTGGTTATTTTGAATTTTATAAAAGAAAGTGTGTGCTCTTTGTAATATTTTAATAGCGCACCACTAGATATTTTAATCAAATTTTATCTAGGTTGATAATTACAATTTAATATAGATTGTCAAAAAATATCAGATTATGTAGATAATATGAATATTTTTTAATAAATTTTTAAACTCTGTAAATTTCTTTTTAATACTATATTTTAAATATTTTTGCGCATGGATCATATGGATAATCACAAAATATAACTTGAAGTTCAAAATTTCAAGTGTTTGTTTTCTATGTATAAGTAAGTTGTTTTTTATCAATTTAACACTTAATCAGTCATTTCTTAAATATTAAATATAGCATTGGTCCTAGGAAACCAACCTTAAACCAAGCAAAATAGAATTGTTATTTAAACATGTTAGATATTAGGAAAAACATAACATTAATGTAAACCATGTAAAACAATAAATGATTAGTACTAATGATTGTAACTAAATGCACACTTACACTCAGGATACACCCATTTGTCTTAAAGCCGTTTTGACTCTGATACAACACTGGTATAAAAACTGAATGATGTTTTATTTATTAAATTGTTGGAGAATAACAGTTATAAACAGAGTCCTTGTGTGCAGATTCTGCTACTAAGAACAATTATTCCAGATGAAAAAAAAAAGTTCCCAAGCAGTTCAATATAAAGAATTAAATTATGATATATCATGTAATGATAACTTCATCCGAGATTCTGGAGCAGTAGTAGTAAGAAACTTTCTATAAAATGGTCACAAAATTTCACACAAGAAAAAATTTACTATCTTCCATAATTAGTATTACTCAGCAGTCGAGGGGATAAGACTAAAGAAGCACTAAAGTTTGAACACTGGTGGACAGGCTAGCGGCATGGGATATTTCTCTTGTGCCGCATGAACAGAAGCATATTCTTTTAAACATATACTCATGAAAGTCTTCTAACCTTAGAAGATACTGTTTTCATGCTTGCAATAATGATTAAATAATTACTACCATTGATACAGAACTTTTTTTAAAAAGAAAGAAAACACTTAGACAATCTCTTACCAATTGAATATTTTTTATGCGTGCTCTAATAGCATAAACAGAATTGTGAAATTCACCACAATTCCACAATCAGAAATGATAGCAAATTATAGGAACATAGGCAGCAGATGTGTAGACTACAATTACAATTTGTTGCTCTTTACAAAATAAAAATTAGAGGCATCCAATGGTGATAGCTGTTGTTGGAATATTTTATTGTACAGAAAAAGAAAATGCTTTGGATTTCAAGAAAACTTATACAGAATTTCTGCTAGGGATTAATACATGACATCTGAAATCATAAGCAAGTGGAATTAAAATTGCAGCTTAAAGACTGTGTGATTTCCTAAAATATAATTACAAACCCTGGAGACTAATGAAGGTGATAAAATTACTGCATATTATTCAGAAAAAGTCTTGGCAATGAAAGAAAATATGTACATAGTAAACACATACAGTGTAATATAAAGTGTAAAATACCCCACAGATTCATCATGAATAAAAATTACTTGATTGTGCTAATGTTTCCAAGACTTTAAAATTACATCTTTATTTTTACATAACACAATGAAATGAAACAGAATTATTTCGATGGAGAATAATGCATAACCAAGTTTTCATGTTAATTTTTTCAATTATTTTTTTCTTTTGGGAGTTACTGGGTTATTTATGAGTTATCCCACATCAGCATTTTAATATACAGATTCTCTGAATAATCATTGTATTTTTTATATTCAGTAGGAGCTTTTGTTAATGTGATTTTGCCTACGGAAAAATATACAAAAGAGAAATTTCTAAAAGTTTAAAAGTAGTTTAATTAAAAAAAAAAAAAAAAAAAAAAGACACATTCTTAAAATTATTTTCTTTATGAATTTCACGATGTTTAGAGTACGTGAAATAATATGAACCTAGATATCAACAAGCATTTTTCAAATACACAAAGAGCCCAGAAATTTCACAGTAAGTAATTTTTGATCAATTATTATTTTCACCCTTTATTTAAAAGTAAAGAAAAGTTATTGGGTATCGAGTTAGCCAATTGAGTGGAATATAAAGTTGTATTTGTTTTCGAAATGAGATTTACATACTTTCACTTATCGCTTCTACAGTAAATTAAATATTAAATCATATCAGGGGCAAACAAAAATAACCAAAACAAAACAAATGAACTACTTCTACCCAAGAAATACGAACAAGTACCATAACATTAACAACTGCTTTCTTGTATACCAGTTTTGCACAAAATTGCGTTTGGCGATCGGAAAATGACGCCAAAAGTTCCTGGCGCAACGGTTGTCTCTGATTGGTCGAATTTCTCCAGTTCCCGGCGGGTTTTAGCCGCCCGTTGACTACAAGGAAGGGAAATACTCTTTGAGTTGATAAAAATACTTAAAATTTCAAAAATATCCTGAAAAGTATTTTACTGATCTTGCGAGCATTCACATGACGATCTTCGACGACGGGCGCGAAAATGCTACAGCCAGATTCTACTGTGTACGTATCACATAAAAATTAAAATATCAAATGTGACGTAAAGAAATTTTATTTGTCTTTCTTCTGCAGTCTTCAAAACTTGTTATAAAACATTCAGGCCTAGAGTTAAGAAGTAATTTTTCATAAATTGAGTATGCACTTGATGTCAGCTATTTTTCAAACTTCCAGAACGTAACAGAAAATGGCATAACATACATCATACAAAATAATCCAACTTAAATTTTAGCACATTCTTATACATTATAATTTCTATTTGATATTAGTAGTAATATTTGATATTAGTAATACATTAGAAAAAGTGTAATACATTTAAATTTCTTGTTTTACCATCAATAATTTCAAATTATTTTAGCTGCCAGCGCCATTTTCATCTTAAATCATTCTAAATTAAATTAAAAGCATATGACACATTTTTTGAGGGAATTATTTATATTTAATTAAAAAATGCGTTTTAAAACATAAAACCTAACAAAAATTATAAAATTACTGAGGCTAGCGTATCAAAGTGGATTGTTTAAAAAATGTTTTAATAGCAATCTGTATGCCGGTTACGAAAAGCCGCCAAAAAGCGCCCTCTTCACGTGCAGTGTCGCTATTGTGAGATCACCGAGTATTCGGAGCGTTATTTCTTTCGCTTTGTCCCTTGCTGGATTTTTGAATTTGCCTGTGATAAAAATTACGGTGGTGGACTATATTGTAGTTTTTTTTTTAAGTAATCGTAATATTTTACGGATACTTCTAGTTTAATTTTATCGTAACTTTCAATTTTAAATTGTAATATGGCTGACCAACACCAGGTACTGTTATTACGTTAAGCCTACTTTCTGTAATAAATAAGTGCATTTTTATGTGATTTTATGCATCTCTAAATGATTATCGTAGATACTTATATATATTCTTTCATTCATTTTGATATGTTGTGAATTTTAATCCATATATTTGGAGATTCCAGTGTCATGCGTATTGAATGTATAGTATAGTGATTTGTAACAAAGTTCTTCGTTGTCTTGCCTACAAGAATTTAATTCGTATGCGTAATTTAGTCTTCTGTCTTTGCTTTATTATACATTTAAGGTAAGAGTGCAAAGTTTTAATCAAATTAAATTTTTGCAGAATGAGTATTTATTCTTCATATTCCAAATATTCCTTTGTTATGGTCCTCTTACATAATGGGCACGTTTCGCATAGCCGGCCCTTGGCTAAATTTAAATGTAGCTATTATGAAAGTGTGTATTGTCATAATCTTTGTATGCGAGTGGATTATTATTATTTTCGTATTTAATTTTAATAAAATTCAGTATCCGAGACTGACATATTTTCCGTACGTTTTTTCCACCTTGATAACTTTCATCAAAATAAATGCGTAAGTTGTTGATTGGTAGAGTGTTCTTCGTTGATTAGTTATGATGTGTGGAATGCTTTCCAACAAAGAAATCCAAAATATATCTGCGTCTGAAAAATAGTTTTCAGCTTTTATACAGTAAAGTTTATTCTAATTTGAATAAACCTAAATAGTTGACTAAATTTTCTTCATTGTCTATCTCGTTAAATAAACAATGTCATTCTTAAGATTTTCTTAAAAATTTGCCTACATGAAAATTGTAATACGTAATTTCGAAGCTCATAAGTGAAATTAACAAAGATAAAATGTAGGCCTGATTGTGTAAGGCCATATTCACATAAAAATGCAAAAGTTTGAAAATATGTAGATTTTCTTGTCAAAGTATGTCAGTCAGTCACGTATAGAATTTTTGTGGTACTTACCCCGTCGACTGTTTGCAGAAATTTCATTAACAGTCGGCAATCATCATCCTAAATTACACTACCTGGCCGGCCGACAGGATAATACATAAGTGCTTTTCTTTTTAATGTAATTAATGCCATTGAATTCTAGTTGAAGAAGATTCTGTATTATTCAGGGCAAACTTGTTATTGTTTAAAAAATTGTATAAAGAAAATGCTATTAAAAGGTTTTTCAGTACATATGTATTAGCACAACTACCTTGGAGCAGTTTACGGAAAATAGGTGATGTGGTGAACTTTTTGTATTGCAGTGCGTATAGTTTCATAAAGAACTGTTACGCATGTGGTTGCAAGAGTTCCGTGAATTCTACTAAAGTGGTTGCAATGAAAAGTATGAAAGTACTGGTTTTTCTTATACAGGTATGCTGTCAAGACAGCATTTTTATTTGTTAAATGGCAGAACCTATCACTATTTTGGTGCTGAAGCAAAAGTTCATTTTCACGTGGAATTGTGCTTATAATTTTATTCTCACGTGTTGTGTTTCACCATAGCTAGTAGGAACTAATAAGGTATGAAGATGAAAAGAACCATTTATAAACTTTGTGGAAGATTGAGTGGATTGAGAATCGCATAATGAATGAGATATTTGAATTCACATCAAAGCAATCACGAATCAGGAGTTTTAACATCAGATAACTAATTTGGATTATTAGTGAAAAGGCTTTTCATTGAAAAAACCAGATGCCCAAAAAATAAATGTAGACTGCATAAGTTCTTGTAAAATGCATTGTGTTGCACACAGTCAGAAAATATTCTGCAAGGTCAAAATAGATCGATATGCCCATGGACACTGAGTTTGTGCAATTCATTGACTTGGTATTTTGGTTTTGTGTAGCAGTCATCTCTGAAATTGTGCTTTTCTAGCACTGATCTGGGCATCATAAAAGAATCTCCAAAACAAAGGGGCACCAAATTGTAAACTTTTACCTATGTCTATTTTGATGGTTCCTAATACCACTCAATATTAGTTAAAACAGTTTATGAACGAACATTCTAATAAACTACAGTACAAAGTCCGTAATCCAGACTCGTCAGGACTTCGGCGATTCCGGATTAGGGGTTTTTCTGGATTGTACATCATCGATTAAAATCTGGTAAGATGGCATGCAGAAATTATACAATTAAAAATTTGGGTACTTTTCCGTTTTGCCGGCGCAAGCGATAAAGTCGCCAATAATGGTACAACCAATGCCAAACGGAAATCTGGGTGGTAAAATTTTACGCCCCAATTTCAAACAAGTCGCAGCTTTTCTTATCAGATTGATTGTTCTTTGATTGTTTTCTTCAATACTGGCATATAATTACATAGAATTTTATCAGATAGTTCATTTTTATGTCTAGGCCATTTTTTCGGTAATTAGTCAATTAGATGCAATTACAGCGCTTACCCGAAGCCGAAAATATAGAAAAGGAAGTCAGGGTTAAATTCATCCATTCTAGAATCATAGCGAAGTAAAGCACTACAAGTTACATAATTCTTGAGAGCTATTCGACGAATTGAAATATTTCTTGCATTTAATTGTTTCCAAATTAAGATTTTACTTAAAATTAATTTAGATAATTCTGAGAGCATTAGATTTTTAGAGTAGTTTACCATGAGATGAGATAGCTTGAGGTCACGTGATATGAACCGGCGAATCAGGAGTTCAACCGTGAAAGCATAGTAAATTCTTAAAAATGTTTTTTACAAATTTATTGTCTTTATTTATTGGCTTTTTAAAAATTTTAAGCGATATTAATTTTTATTCTTTTTAAAAGAATCTTAGAACTAACAATTTTTAATATTTTTTATGTGTAACTGTATGTTGTCGCCAATAAAGCTGCTTGGCGAGATTTGCGCCGGTGAACGGAAAGTACACAAAATTTGAAAAAATCGTAAACATGGAAGGGTATCAAAATTTACAAAAAAAAAGCTTAACCGTTTGACTGCTAAGCAATTCTTGCAAGAATGCATGAAAACTGCAGTACATATTTTGAATTGATGCTGTCTATTGACTTATATTTTATTATAATTATATTTTGACTTGATGACGGAGCAACAAAAGACGCACTGAAACACGTAGCGCAAAAGCACTGCGTCACGGTTTTCGAGACGAATGCAGCGCTTTTGCACCGCGTAACAGTCAAACGGTTAATATTTATTTGTTTACTGTATTAAACATTTCAGCTAATCTTTGGAATATGGTAACAGGTAGTTTGGCGACATTTTGGTAAGGTGATAAACATTATTAGGTAGGACTTTAGCAGTGTACATGGATAAAGTCAAGAGTGTGCGCAATCCATTTTTGTGCAATTCTGGGATGTTTTTTTAAGTGAAAATAGGTCGAACGTGTACATGAATAATTGTATGTGGAATTTTTAAAAACTGGCAAGCAGTTTGGCGATTTTGCATTTCTCCCAATTTCGCACCTAATCTTCGTCATGATAAGCATTTTTGTTTCTGTATAAGCGTCCTTGTTTTTTATCTTTGTTGGAAAAATTTAGTAGAAAACCCCCCCCCCAACCGCCCCGCTTTTACTTTGTGAAATCAAAATGGCGTCCAAAACAAAACTAGCAGATTGCTGTAGCAGGGTTTTGCCAAAAAATCTCAATTACCATAATCCAAGATTACCAACATTTTCAATGTGTTGTTTAGATGCTTCCACAAAAAGTTCTTTTTCTTGTGTCGATAGACTTTCAATGCCAACTTCTCGCATAATTTTTAAGACGGATAGGCCTTATGCTTTTTGCAGCAATTCCACTTTGTTTAATGGCATTAAATAATGCTTTTGCCTTTGAGATCCTTTGGCACTCTATAATTGAAACTTTTTGACATAATCGAAAGTAGCTTAATTTTTATAAAATTGTAAAGTGAAAGCTGGATCTCATTAGAAGATCTGACAGCGTAATCTGAACATACTAATGCTTAATAATTTTAGCATAGCTTACTGGGTGGCCATAATTAAACTGACAGTGCTCACAGTGTTCTGTAGCGCGATCTATTTGCGAGAATGACGCCACATTTTGTAGGAAATTAAACAAGACGGGGGACGAAGGATTCCGCGAAAAAAATTAGTTCCAAAAGTCACCGCTAGGGGAATATTTAGCGCTGTGTAATAGAAAATAGAGTGTTAACAAATGCAAATCAATACGGAAATTACCTTTTATTTTGCATTTAAATGAGGTTCAATGTGGCTGCCGTTGTTCTGGACCACATATTGCATTCTGTGCACAGTATGCACAACAGCAGAAAGTAACGTCTGCAGGAATGTCCGTGATATGTTATCCTTTAACATAGCCAGGTGTTGGACCACTGCTTGATAGACGTTGGACTTAAGGTAATCCCATAGCCAGAAGTCGCACGAGGTAAGATCAGGCGACCGAGGTGGCCATGCAGTTGGAAAGTAGCGGCTAATGACTCTTTCTGTTGTAGCATCTGTTGCACCCGTACAGCAACGTGTGGAGGGGCTCCATCTTGCATGAAAATGATTTCTCCCATTGTCTTTGCTGAAGTGCCGGAATGACAAAGCTGTTCAACATGTGGCAATATTTCTCTCCAGTAACAGAACAGGTTTCCGGTCCTGTCGGGGTAATGTTCTCATACAAGAATGGACCTACAATAAATTCAGCTGTGAACCCACACCAAACAGTTACCTTTGAATGTAAGGGAATTGCTGTGACTGCATGTGGTGGTTTGTCATCCGAAATTTGACAGTTCTGGGTATTCACAGTTCCATTCATGTAAAAGTGGGCCTCGTCTCCCTGTAAGATTTTCCATGGCCAAGCATCATCCACCTCCATTCTGGCAAGAAAGGTGAGAGCTAAAGTCAATCACTTATCATGGTTGGGGTACGGTAACTCCTGTGCACGGCTGACCTTGTACAGATAAAAGTTGATAATCTTTCGTAAGATTTTCCATACCCATATTCCGAGCTACTCTACGAGCACTAGAGGTGACAGCAATATTGTCTGGTCCTTTGTCGACAATCGCTGTGGCAACTGTTTTGATTTGTATCCTGTGGTACAAGTTTTCGTCCTCTGCCTGACTGAACCTTCAGAGAACGTGTTTTCTCAAATGTTGCAACCATTGCTTTTAGCCCATTAACTGACATAGGACCGTTACCTTAACGCATTTTTTTGTGCGTTCTAAAACCGGGAAGAGTGGCTGATGCGTTGCAGTGGTTGAGGTAAAAGAATTTGACCAGTAGCGCACGCTCGACTAAAGAAGGAGACATTACACATAAACTTTCAATCTGATTCGAACGTAACACGTTGCCTTTTAAAACCCAGCAGCGGCACTGTGTCGAATGAATGTAACGTGAAATTTAAATAAAGAACTTCTGCTCAGCGTACGTGATATTGCAGATCACGAGACTTTATCGGTGTTTATGTAGATTTTACGCTTTTTTAAAAGTGTTGCCATATTGCACTTCAACTAAATCAGAAAATGTGCATAATGAAAGGTAATTTTATTCCGTATTAATTTGCATTCGTTAACACTCTATTTTCTGTTACACAGTGCCAAATATTTCCCTAGCGGTGACTTTTGGAACTAATTTGTTTTTTTTGAGGAATCCTTTGTCCGCAGTCTTTAATCTTCCTACAAAATGTGGCGTCATTGTCACAAATTGATCGCGCTACAGAACACTGTGAGCACTGTCAGTTTAATTATGGCATTTACGCATGCGTATAAAGTTTGTGGCTTTGAGGTCCAGATTACAGACTTTGTACTGTATATTGAATAATGTGTTCTAAAAGTGAGTTAATCTGCATTAATTTTGTCAGATTGTAGGATGGGATCTTTTTTCTTTTTCTTTGGTAAATTTAATTCTGAATGGCTGAAGCTTTCTATTGGCTAAAGTGCAGAATCACCCACTTATTTGTTTGGTTTTTTTTTTTTACAAGAGTAGGAAGAATTGGATTTTTGTCAATTTTCTTTGACTTTTTAAAAGAAAATAGGTTGATGTGTACATGGATAAAGTCAAGAGTGTGCACAGTGCCATTTTTGTGCAATTCTGGGATGTTTTCTTAAGTGAAAATAGGTCGATGTGTACATGGATATCGCGTATGTGCAATTCTTAACGCACCAAGCAGTGGGCGATTCTGCACTTTCACCTTTTATTTTACATGGAAGTTTTCAAAAATGACATTTATATTCATTATTTTGAAAAGTTCCACAGTATGTGGCTCTGTTAATATCCTTTCCTTATTTATGTTATACGTTTGTATTGTACATTAATTCCTTTATGCAGACTTTGTCTTATATTGTTATATGGTTCTGTAAAAACACTTTACTGTATACATTTGTATCATACAATTATGTTATGTTAGATTTATGAATTTCTTTCCATTAATGAAAGTCCATCAGTGACAAAGTCACTCTAAGTTAAAAATTTTGCATTCTGTTAGTTTTGTAGCAGATATGCCTTAACTTTTTTTCTATGTTAAACATGAATATGCAGTCCTCATGTTCTTTGCTATAGTTAAATAACTACCTTTATAGAATTGATAAATTTAATACGCAAGCCATTTCACAAAGAAAAGGCCATATATTTTCATTTTTAAATGAGATTATAATGTTTTATAAACTTCCAAAAAATATTGTGAACTTTATGACTTATTTCTTTGAAGGAGCAGAAGACCGAAGGTGATGGTGGATCTGAATATATTAAATTAAAAGTTGTAGGACAGGTAAGTGCTTTTATTTGCTTTATTTATTATTACAGTGCTGAATCTTATGCTTTTAAGAGTTTAATATCTTGCTGTATATTACAGTATAATTATTTGCTGCTTAAATAAGTACAGTACTAAGTCCGTAATCCGGACTCGTTGGGACTTTGGCGATTCCGGATATGGAGTTTTTTCCCGATTTTAGATCATCAGTTTAAATCTGGTAAGATGGGATGCAGAAATTATACAATTGAAAATATGAAACCATAATTTATGAAATAAAGAGCAATTATGATATAAAGGGTATAAAAATTTACAAAAAAAAAGCTTACTATTTATTTGTTTACTGTAGTAAACATTTCTTTCAATATAAGTTGTTTAAGTTGCTTCGTTTTTTCTGCTAGTACTTTCTGTTTAATTCTATAAACAGACAATTTCTTGTTCAGTTACAAAGTTCCACTGTTCAAGTCCTGTAATTGCTGTGTCAAGAATACTGACTAACTTGTCAATCGAAATTTTTTCGTTTTCAATAACATTCTGTTACTTTCTTCACTATCGGAAGCGCGTAAGGGTAAACGCTTTACTGGCTTTATGCGCATGCGTAAGTTCCCCATTATAGATCATTCCGGATTACAGACTTTGTACTGTATTTGTTCTAAAATTCCCCAGATTATCATATTAGTGATGTTTATTACTTCCATATTATCCTGTAATGTCGTCATTGACTGTTAATTTTACATTAGTGATTGTGTAATGCCAAAGATATCAATGTTTTTTTTTTAACTCTGAAGTGTCCAGTCTGTATTCAGAAGTATTGAATATGGTAGCTAAATATATATGCGTACAACTTTAAATGTATCCCATTATAGTTTTAACAAATCAAGGTGCATATTAAGAGGATCATTTTAGACTTATAATCAAGAAAATGTTGCTCGCCGATAATCGGATGCAAGCAAACGGTGGCTATAAAAAAAGTGTTGACTTAACATTTGGGTAAAATGCAGAATCGCTTACTTATTTGGCGCTTTTTACAAGACTAAGAAGAGTTGGTTTTTTGTCAATTTCCTTTGACTTTTTAAGTGAAAATACATTGATATGTACATGGACAAAGTCAATGGAGTACGCAATACCGAATGAATGTATTTCTTAAAAATGTGTCAAGCAGTGGGTGATTCTGTACTTCCCTTTTCATTCATGCATTACATTCTTTACATTTACTGTGAGAATTTTTCAGCACTGTAGAAATTTAATTCAACTGTTGAATCATCATTAATTCATCAATAAAAATTTTTGACAAAAATCTAATCGTTGGTTGATCGTATGAGCATTCCTAAGATTAAGATAATCTCAAACTTGCTGGACCATTGAATAGTAAAAATTTGATAATCTGGCTAGTTTGAGACTTCAATAATGTCAAACTTACGAAGTTAAATCAGTTAAAACTGATTTTTAAGCATTATTTAGCAAATTGCAAGAATTTGATACTTTAAAATTCTGCATAGTAAGTCTACAGATATATTTAATTGCTGAAAACATAAGATAAACTGTAGTATGATGTATTATTCTTGATTTGTTTTGAGGTCTACTGTCATTACTATTGCACGCTACATCATAAAGTTTAAAGTAGTACTTGTCAGAGTACTAATATATGAACATGACTTTTTCATTTCTTTGTGTTTATTATCCTTTGTAAATTTTGAAAATATATTAATTCTCCTTAGTCGGTTCAGAAGATTTTATCTTTAGGATATACGAATGAAAAATTAATCAAAGGAACACTGGAATTGGTTGACCTTCAAAGTAGTTATTTATAAAAATCTTGCTGTTTTCATTAAAATTTTCCTACATAGTATGCTATCCCTGAAGTAAATGCCTTTCAAATTATATGACCTTATCAGGTAGCACTACTGTTGGATGTTCACATGTTGGATTATCAGTTGTGTTGAACTGTTAGGTACCTGATTATTAGACATCTACTATATTACATATGCAGGCATGTAGAACAGATATGCACACATTGAAATTAGCGTTACTATTCCATTTTGCCACCACAAACAATAAAGTCGCCAATAATGTTACAAGTGATGCCACACAAAATATCTTCGCTGGTAACCTTTTTCCCTTCGTTTTTTCAAAACATGCCGCAGCCATTTCTTATCAGATTGATTGTTTCTTTCAATGCTGGCATACAATTACATAGAATTTTTACAAGATAAATTTTTTGCCCAAGACCATTTGCGGTAATTAATTAGGAAGCAATCACATCACTCACCCGCAGGCAAAAATATAGAAAAGGCAAACTCAAGGGTTAAATTCATCAGATCTAATGAGAATGCAATAGCGAAGTAAAGCACTGCAGTTTTACGTAAAATTTCTGAGTAAGCTATTCTTATGAATTGAAATAATTCTTGCATTTAAACTTGTATTCCATAAAATTAAGATACTTGCAATTAATGTAGATAATTACTGAGAGAATTAAATTTTTGTAGCATAGTTTACTTGAAATGAGATCACTTGGAGTCATGTAATATGAACCGGCGAATCAGGATGTTGTACCATGAAAGAATAGTAAATTCTTGAATTAATGTTTTTTTACAAATTCATCGTCTTTATTTATTGGCTTTCTTTACAAAATTTTAAACGACATTAAAATGTTTATACATTTCAAAAAAAAAAAAAAATTCTTAGAACTAACATTTGTTAACATTTTTTATATGTATACTGTATGTTGTCGCCAATAAAGTCTGCTTAGCGAGATTTGCGCCGGTGAAACAGAAAAGTACCAAATTAGCTTCATTTTACAATTCACAATTCAAATAAGATTTGGCAATTAACATAAAACACTCTGTAACGACTGCTCAAAAGTCTGTTTCAAAAGGCATTTTAGATATGTATCTATTTAAATTTTGCAGTACATACAATGTGTTACATATTTATTCTAAGGAAGCACTTCCAAAAAGAACCAGGTAAATGTAAACACCACCAACATTGGCAATAATAAGTTCAAACCTGGTAACCAATGGATTCAAACCTATTCACTTGTTTGAAGGTTGCAACAATTCCTCTTACATTGATTTTAAATTATCGCTCTTGTTGTTCATATTTGCTGATTTAAATTATTCCTCACTTATTTACTATTATTTTTTAAGATTTTCGCAATATTTTTATGATTTTTTAACAATGAATAGATAGAAATAGTTTCGTATAATTAAGGATGTTTTTGGTGACATGGTGGTTTGCGGAAGAAAATATGGCGTTAAGGGGTGAATGATAAGTGGTAACACGCCTTTTAACATAGCATTAAGCACGCAGAACCATGAGGTTTCCAACCCCTAAAATAGTTTGATTTCGTGGGCCACCAAAATATGCATTTAAATAATTGATTATTTAACGGTATTTTTATTATTAGTTATTGTCATCTAAAATAATGAGAATAAAACAGTATTTAAGGAGTTTATTTTTAATGCTTTTCCAACATTAACTTTTGAGAAGATGGCAGGTGTGACACACAATAGATGATTAAATTGAAAAAAAAAAAGATTCTCTAAGATGACAGAATAGTTTTATGGATCCCCAGGGTCATCAAAAATGCACACTGTCGTAAGGAGTATATATACTATTTGAAAAGGCATGCAAACTCAGTTAAAGCATGATTTGGATATATGTAACTGATTCTCATAATTTGACGAGTCTACAGATACATCAGACACTGCACAATTAGAAGTTGCAATGAGAATGGCATTTAGTAAAACTTCAAAAGATCTGAAAATATTACCTATCAAACGGCAAGCAAGAAGTGAGGATATTTCCAACATAGCAACAGCGCATGTAAAATATTAATAGATGCCTCTGCACGCACTTAAATGATAACCACTGATGAGGCAATGGTTGGCTTCTTCGAGAAAGATAAATCATTTCCAGACTTTTATTATCGTATCACTTTATCATCCAAGAAGAAGCTTTTGTGTAGTAAAAATTTGGCGTTTGTATGCATCACAAACATTGTTAGAAAAATAGCCCTCTTTGCAACTCAAAGCCTATCGGAACATCCTGATCTCATTTTGCTTGGTTTAGTAAAGGGAAATTTCTTGCAAGATTCATAAATTTAATTGAAATAAAAAATTTTCTCAGTATCAAAAATCAAAATTTTCCTGAACTAACGAATGTTCCATGGCTGGTGGATTTGTTTTCCAACCGCCATAATTAGGAATTTGAATCATTTAATCTTGGAACTACAGGAAAGAGAAACATTTATGTTTAATGATAGGGGGTGTTAAGTTGTTTAAAGCTTAACTGGTTTTAGGGATGTCACCTTTACAAATAAAATTCCTTCCACATTTCCCAAATATGGGGGAGGGGGAAATCATGGTCAAAGTTGAAATTGACTTATGTTCATTTTTTAAACCTTGTTTGTTAAAATTCGTTAGACCAGTTTCTGTAACCATTATAGCCAGCCTTAATGTTTCTTGCCAACTTGTGAGACGCAGAACAGATACTGCAAACTCTGGTAAAATAAGTGAAGGAGGTATGTATAGCATGCTCACCCACCCTTGTATTATGTCTCAAATATGTTGGATTGGATTTTGTTATATTTGCCGTCTTTCCCTTTAATACCTCTGCTTTCAATTTATTCATGTATTAAGATAGCTGCGTGGATTTGAATATTGCCTTGTATTAAATAAAATGCAAATATGACTATGAATAAACAAAACCTTGCTAAAAGGAAATAGTGTAAAGAAACATGATAGTCGGAAAATGTGTGCAGGTAATTTTTTTTCATTATGAATTCCTTGTGAATGTGACTGTCAGTTTTAAAATATATAGCTTGTTGGGTGTTTATTATATATGGTAATACATGCTAAGTCCTTGCCCATAAGCAATTTGAGAATCCGTTGCAAGGCAAAGCCAAATTTTTCAGCAAAGATGGTTGCTTCTGCATTTCGGATGAGTGAAGTTATACGGAATTAGTAACTTCTGTCATGCATGCTTTTGTGATCTGTGGTTTGAATCATGGCAAGTGC